ACTTTCCAAATCAAAAAAGTAATAAGCGTAGGCGTTTTGCAGTATGTTAAAATCCAATTAATTTGCTTTCGAATGTATTTTGAAACTCACAGTTAAGTGCAGATACGTTGTCGATGGGAAAGTGAAAACCTTTTCAACTCGTTGTTGATCAGTAATGCCTGCTAGACGGTCTTTTAGCGTTCGCAGATGGCCATTCTGAGCGAGCAGTTGCTCGGGAATACATTTCGAAGTGGCATCGCAACATCCCTGTACAATTACTGGAGCTAGGCCTCGTGCCATGGCTTTGATATTACCATTCTCGTCTACTTTAATAATTACACCCTGAAGGTTTACTTTCTCATACAAACAAATTCAGTTGTAGCGCATTCAAGAGAATTTACGTTTAGATGTTAAATGAAATTACATTTTCCACGACAACCCCGTCTTTTTCCCCTCATATGCCAAGTGAAACAAGACTGCCTGGGCAACCGGTTTGTGTATCTCATATTAGTGATGTTACTGGGACGCCCGCACATGTCACTTAAGTAAAACACGTAAATCACAGACTGCTGCATTACTTGTTATTTTCACCCATATCAAACCATGAAGCACAATGAAGGTACCGTAATTTGCTGCATAAGCAAAGAAGAAACATAAATGAGTGATTATGAAATGCCGGCGAATGAGAACTGTAACTCAAGCGTATAGAACTGGTTTAGAAAATGACAACGAACATCTCCAATTTTGCGGCGTATTTCATTATCCTGATCCGTATTTTGAAAGTGATTGAAGCCAAGCGTAATGCCATCATATTCATCGCTGCTGCCATCAATGATGATCGCTGTCCGCCTGAAAACAGTTGGTCATCATTTGAAAATCGAAACTCATACTGCTTGGAAACACGGCAATGTAACGTCAGTAGTGTCACATCCATATTAAGAATTGGACATCTACGCCATCACTTAGAAAATCAGTTCAGTTGTTTCGAAGATAAGTGACAATTAGCGTACACAAAAATGTTAAACCTTTGTGAACCTGTTTCTAAGCAAGAAAAGAGGAATATGCTGTGAGCTGTTTAGACGTTTTTTCGGCCAGGATATTTTCGACTATCTTCGTCTTTCACAGTGTGTGAGTTACGAAGGAGGATTTGTGTATTTTAACTGACTTCATATTATTACAGCAATGAAGATAATTCAGTAAACTATGTTTATGCTTATTTAACTCATTACCCAAAGGAGTTTCTCATCTAACTCCTCATTTAACTCATTAAACTCGTCTTTAACTCATTTGACTCTGTGTAGGTGACGAATTTTAACGGTGCACCCATCTTGCAAGCAACAGAACTCTGACTGTGCACAGTTTGTGACAGACCTCAGATACGCTTTTGCAAGGCGCCTGCATTTTTCCATCAGAATAATTTTTCCCCAAATCTGGTCGTCCAAGCCGCCCTGTTGAAGTTTCTCCAGAGTTTCCATTATATGCTCCTAAACATTTAAAATAAAAACGATAATATACCATCATCTAGCTGAATGGCCTGCAGAATATTCCAGGCCATTCTGTCAAAATGAATTTCGCATAAAAAACGAACAGATTATTTTTGAATTCATTATATTAGCACGTTCCGCCCTTCTCTAATCCTTTTGTTCCTTGATGTTGCTAATGCTAAAAAGCTTATTAAAAACGTTGCAGAGTTAATTGGTTACTGAAGTCCTGCAGAACTGGGAGTCCTTGGGGAAGTGAAAAACTGAGATTAAAATGGGCAGAAGCTCACAAGATGCAGCACTACTGGCTTCTGAGTTACTCTTTTTCGTAAGTGTTTGGTCAAATTAATTAAATATCTATTCGAGAGCATGGCTATTTTGCATGTGGCGATCAGTAACTAGATATTGAAAGGCTTAAAACACAAAACCTCGAAAATATGGATTATTTCTCAAAAAAAAAAATTCCAGACGCTTCCCGGGCAGAGAAACGTCTCTCCTTTTTCCCGATTGTCGCGGTCATGCAAAAGTATGTTGTACTTCAAAAATTCACTGACATCAGAAGAGCTCATTGAAAAATGTATTTTGAGTTTTCATAAAAATGCCTTGAAAACGGCAAACCCTTTCGAACTGTTCGACGGTGTACCATCGCTCGCTTTTGCCAGTTATGTTGCTGGATAATGC